CCCCAAAACCCCAAAACCCCAAAACCCCAAAACCCCGAGAATCCCAAAAATAATTGATTATTAATTTTTGAAATTTAAATGGATTTGACTGAAGATGACGCCGCATTGGCCGTCTAAGCCATGTAGTAATACGAAAAAGGCAGTGACAGTAATAAAAACTTAGACACCATGTCAAACGATGACATGGAACCTTGAGGCTGGATCCAATGGTTCTGATCCCTCTAAAGCCATGACTTCTTGTTAGAAATCGAAGAAGAATACATTAAGGATAACTTCAACCTATTTGGATTAAAATAAGAAATTTAAAACAGAAAGATACTCCACCTGCATTAAAATGATTTTAAGTAATTATTCTCCTTCAGAGGAGGATCTCCAAAACGAAAATTTTTAGAATTGAACCAAGAAGCTTCTGATTTATATGGGCTAATTCACTCAAGATTCATTATCGCTTAGAGAGGATTGAGCAAACTTTACAATAAGTTTCTTAATGGAACATACGGATACTATCCAAGAGCTTTATGAGACATCCAGAAGGTCCTCCTGGTCGGCCTCTCCGACAAGGTGAGAACATCAAGAGTCAAGGTCTTCTGCCTCAAATGCGAAGAAGTGTATATTCCAAAATTTAAGAGCATCAAAGTGGATGGCGCATATTTCTGCACTTCAGTGCCACATGTTTTCTTTAGAAGCTTCAATGAGGCGGTTGCCCTGCAGCAGGGATTTTTAACTATGAGCCTAAGATCCATGAGTTCAGGATTTACAAGAAAACAGGCTCCAGGGCCGCAGGGTCCAAGGATGCTATCACATATCCAAAATTCTATACTACAAGTGAAGCAGCAGAAGAACTGAAAAGTAGGGGCTCAAAGCCGATTTCAAAATTGGACAAAATGATGAAGACGTTGTCACTGACAATTTCGATGACAAAGACCAGGCAACCACACAAAAGAACAATAATAACAATGTAAGGAAGGGTAAAGGAAAAAGGTAGAAGAAAGACGGAAGAAGATAAGTAGCTGATAATTGTGTTCTAAAGGTGTTTTTCATATAAATTTCTTTATAATGAGATTCAGCAAATTTACACTTAAACTCCAAGATTTCCTCCTTATCGATCAAATTTCATCCTTATAAGGCATCTCCTCGGGCAAGGTTCATCGATTCGTACTCGACCTTTCAGAAGACGTTAATGAAGCCGAAATAAGCTTGAAATATTTTACAGTTATCTTGAAAATTATGAAATCCTTCAAGCATATAAAATCAGTAATCTTTGTGTAATTTTTAGCGAAAACGGTGAGGACGAGGACTAAGAAAGTCTTAAAGATTCTGAAATACATTGTATGTCTTAGTAAGCTGCCCTCATGACTCTTTCGAGAAGCTCGTCAAGGCCAAGAATGACCTTAAGAAACAAACAGAGATTTTAAGGAACTGAGTCATCTTGAGATAGGGATTATGATACCGAAGAGGATCACTTTGTCATCCTACCCAAAGAGCATAGATACCAAACTGGCTAAGCTATCCCTACAAATGTCCCGAAGATAGTGCTCAAGAGAAACTATCTTGAAGCAAGGATTTGGAAGAGGAAGAGTCGGGTTAAAGAAAGCCTTCAACGCCAGAAGCAGATTTATAAACAAATAAAGGTGCCTAGGTATGCTATGCACCATAACTCTTTTGCATTCTAAACTCACTTGTTACCTATACATCATACTAAGATTGATGCAGGATTGGGGTGTAGTTGGCTAAAATGGACCAAACATGGCTCTTTCCTAGCCATCTCTAGGCAATGTAGATTAATAGGCTGTTTATGATTAACAAATTCTAACGAAGACTCTAACTCTTTTGTTAGAAATAATAGTCAAAATCATAGTTGAATAGCTCCTAGTAGCAAACTTGCATCTTCACTGCTCTTAGAAATGTTTGCAATTTTCGAAAATTTATTAGGGGTTTTGGGGTTTTGGGGTTTTGGGGTTTTGGGG